CTGCAGTAGGTGAAGAGAGAGCCAAATGATCTGACCACATGAAGCAGATACCTAGACTTCAGGAATACAATAATCAGCATACACTTAAAATTAAGCACACATGCAAGTAAGTTGGAATAAGAGACAATCACAGGACACATGCAATACCAACCCCAGAATGAGAAGGTGGTGACTAATCTTCAGGCTCCCTGGATGAACAGAACTGGGCACAGAGCACTACCTAATGATAATATTCATTATTACAGAGACAAGATGGAGCATCCATCCTGTGGGGATACCCACGGCGTGTGTGTATGTGCATGTGTACACGTGTACATCTATAAACACCTGCTTTACAAACCTATTACTGCTCTTCACTGACCTCTCAAAAAAGTATTGAGATTAATGAATAACTGGCTTTCCAAATCTCTCCCTGTTCCTCTCTGCTGCTGTGGCTCAATGCAGACATCATTACTACTCCACCAGAGTAGTGATTCTGCTCGTCATGCCTGAAACAACTACAGCACGGAGATTAAATACAATCTATATCCACATAAATCATTGAATAAATGAATCATGAAATTAATATGTAAATTGTGTGTTTAACCTCTATTTATACAGCACTGTCTGTCACCATGTAGTAAATCTAAAACTAATTGCAAATTCACAACTCTGCAAAAAGAACACCATGGTAAAAGCTTGACATATTTATTAACTAAATGTTGAACTACATTGAGTAAGTAATTAACAGTCATGCCAGAACAGGGAGAGGAAATTATATTTAAGCACAGATGTCACCTGTATGAAATGGCTAAAACTATTTTAGATTAGATTTTGATATTAATCAAAGAATACTCCTATTTAATTTTTGACAGACAAATCTGTTTCCATTTATTCATGATTCCATTAAACACTCCAGTTTTAAACCTGAATGTCATGTCCATTCTCAGTCTGATGTTCCTTTTAATATGTCTTAGAAGAAAATGTGAAGAAGAAAGTGGTAAGGTTAAATGGTAATAAAACCTTTCTACAGACGAGACAAAACCCCCTCAATAAACCAGAAAAAATAACTTTATATTAGGTTAAATTCCCTGATTTATTTCTTTGATACATAAAGAACTGAACATAAGTCTTAGGATACCATATCTAATTTCATTCCTACATATTTTCAGTGCTTTCCAATGAACAAAAGGCACCTCCAGTTGGATGATCCTGGAAGTTCCCTAACTGCATGCACCAACACAGAGATCCTCCTTAAGTTTATTCTAGAATTACAATGTATTTAAGACATACAACATCAAAATAGATGCTGTATGAAAGCACTTGTGCAAAGGCATTTAAAGCTTCCAAACTAGTCAGTAAGGTATTGACATGGAACAAAAGGGAAAGGAGACGCCTTCCCCTCAGGCAGCCAAGACAGACACATCAATCCCATGGCATGAGGTGAGTGATGCTAATCAGAAATACCCACTGCAGCCAAACACATACTCTATTGTGAAATTCAGAATATTAACCCTTTTGTCTTAAAGTTCTCTGCTGTTCAAACTGAGCAAATTCCATAAGAATCAACAAAAAGTAGAAGAAATTATATTTGTCCGTGAAATCAGACTGGCCATGTGTCCTCTGCCCCCTTCAACAGGTCAATACAGGTACACTACCTGTATCATTCCCAAGCAGGACATGAGCACAAGGCAGGCTCCCAACTGGGGAAAAATGAATCCTTGCAGAATAACAGAACAGCAAAGAGAAATCGATTATATAATAAATACGTATTTTAAAACACAGCAACTGCCCCACCGGGCAAACTTGCTTTCTTAACAGGCACTATTCATTTGAAAGATACCCTAAGTAAATTCCACTGGACTCCAACAGAAAATGCACACTGCAAGGGAAGCAAGTCCAATTCCAGGGCAGGAAAAGGGTGAGATCCTGAAATAACCAAGACTAATGAGAAAATTCACACAGAATTTTATGCCCTTCTGTTTCCAGGCTTTTAGTAAAGCTAAACTCAGATTAGCAGATAAATTTTACTTTATATGGAATTTATAGACCTAATCTGTCCCCTCATGGCAAATCCATCCTGCACATATCACTCCTCACTCTGTGCCTGATGAAGCTACATGAGCATTAGGATCCCCATCTCACAACCTGCACATCAGAGGCACAAAGAGATGAGGTGATTTGTCCAAGGTCACAACAGGAGTCATTTCCAGGGCCAGCAATGAGACTTCAGTTCCTCAGCTCCTGGTTCCAGCAACCAGACCATGATGCCTTTAACTGTATTACAGTAAACACTCCCCTGTGCCATCAATCTTGGATCCAGGAGCACTTCAAATCACTCGAGGATTATGACATTTTTATGGGAGGACAGCACTTCATTCCTGACCTGAAAACTTGGGGGGAAGAGCAGGAAAAACTCCCGAAGCTGGTGAAAAAGAACTGTGTAGCAGGAGGGTTGAACAGCTACAAGAGGTTGGGGAACACAGGGGAACAAACCAGTCCAGTTCTGCTTTGCTTCCAGAATTTGAACAACCACCAGCTGTTTGCAAATCTCAGAAGTTACATTAATGCTTGGAAAACAATTGTCTATAAAGACTAAACATGACAACTGCTGTTTACTATTCACTATTTCCTATCCACTTACCTATCTATTTTCTCCAGTTTTCAGCAGTTTCAGGCACACAGAGAACGAAGTGGACAGTATACAGGCAGCTTACAAACTGAGAGTTTGAACAGATTACTGGAATAATTCTGAATGATAAATCAATTACTGCAATCAATTACAACTTTCCAAAGTCTTAATTTAAGATGTGCATATATTTTCACAGCAGGTAATTTCACTGCATGCAATTTAGAACGTAGAACACAAGAACTGCAGGAAAACAACACAGTCTAGTCACCAAACTCCAAGTCATTCTTACAGAGGGTTTTCAGGGCTTTTTTTCCTGACCAAAAAAAAAATCGTACAATCATTCCAACATTCACTACAAAATGTAGAAGCAACACAGTACAGTGTAGTTACTCCTTGAAAACATGAAAAAAGAAAACAGGGGAGAGAGAGATTACTGTCTTCATGGGGCTATTCCTCTCCCATGAGGTGTTCGAACTACATGCACTGTCAAATAAATAAATACTGGCAATTAAAGAGAGAATAAATGAGGTATTTTAATGAAGCTCTCCAAAAGCCATCTGGACATGGTTCTGGGCACCCTGCTTGAGCAGGGTTTAGACACGATGACCTCCAGGGGTCCTCTCCAACACAGCATAAGGAGCTAAATCTAATTCCAGGTAACAGGAATTATCTAGATAAGAGTGGAGCTTCTTGCAAAGACACAAGTATTGATGACTTTGCTCAGGACACTGGCAAGGCCCTACCTGGAACAGCTTTAATCATCTCAGTTCTAGAAGAACCAGAGCTCTCTCTCACTTGTCTGCACCATTCCTCCTCTCGGTCTCTTTTAGAGTCTTTTAATCAACTCCATTATTTTGCCTGGTCTAATGTTTCAGATTTAACAGTCATCTTAAGTGAATTATTGGCCTTATAATTTACTAATTTCCATCCCACTTCAATTACTCAAGTCCTTCAAGTTCCCAAATTGTCATCTTTAGTCTTCTATATATTGACAATATCTTCTTACATTTGTCATCAGCAAACTGTATTACCACACCCCCACTCTGTGCCAGGGCTGATCATTAAAGATATTAAATAGGATCAGCCACAAAACAATCCTTGAAAACTCAATCACTAACTATAAGTCCGATAATTTCAAATTACTTTTTACATCCTTGAGCCATTTTCCCCATTTTTACCACCCTATCCAGGAATTTCCTACACTAACTGTTCTGCAGAAGTCCAGATAGCAATGGCAGCCTTACCTATGTCTTAAAATAAATAAATAAATAAATAAATAAATAAATAAATAAATAAATCTGTGATCTTAGCAAACACAGCTATTGAGTCATCTCAGCACAATCTGCCCATGGAAAACCACATGACATTGTGTCTAACTATCCACTTTTTGGCCTGGTTTGAATTATATTTAATAACAAAATTTGTTTCAAGTTCTCCTTTGCCATTTAGATAAATGATTACCTCTAAATTTTCCATATTTCCTACCATGAAAGCTCATATAAATTTGCCAAGATAAATAAATTTATGTTTGCATATCTGTCCTTACTGAGGAATAAGAAGGATTCAAAGTACTTCCTTACTAGGGCAAATAAAACCTGTAGCAGTTCACCAGGTTTGCCTCCACCCAATAAAAACACAACCAGAAGCAGCATTTGCAGGACTCCCAAAGCATTTTGAACCAAGTCAGAAGGATTTGAAGTAAACCCTTATGTAGAGGTTCATCATCATCATCAGATGAAACCACACAGGATGCAGAAAGGGCAGCAAGGGTGGGAGGGGAGGCAGGGAGGAAGCTGGTTTGCATCCATTGCCAGCTTCCATAGAGAGTGCCTGTGTGCCAGGGGCTGACCCTCAAATGTCTCAGACACCCCAGCAGATGAGCCAGTCCCAGGCAAGCACATGCTGGGACCATTTTTTACTGCTCTTGGGTCCTCTTCGGAGCTGCTGACTAAGGGTTCCCCTTCTGGGGGCAGGGGGGACTGGCCCACCACACCTTCCCTGCTTCATCATACCCACAGGAATCACCAGGTCTGATCACCACCCAGCCCAAGCACCCAGTGCCACGTCCAGTCTTTCCTTTAACACCTCCAGGGCCAACGACTCCACCAAGCCCCTGAGCAGCCTCTTCCCAAATTTCACTGCTGCACAGACGGCATCTCCCTGAGCTGTCACCACCTTGGACCTCCCTTCCCACACAGAAATTGAGAGCAGCCCATCCCTGCAGCCCCCAGATTACAACCCCCGAGGAGGGGCGAGAGGAGAGGCCATAAAGCAGCTCGTTCCTTGCCCCGCGCAGGGAGAAGACGGGCACAGCGCTGTTCTTCAAATCACTAACGGCTCTGATACTGCTTCCACAGGAGATTTATGTTAAAAAGATAACTTTCCTCACTTTTGGTTTTCATTTCTGTTCCTTTTTCTCCCCGACATTTCATTCTGGGCAGGAGAAAGAGCGGTTCATTTCCGCGGCGGCCCAGAACAATCTCAGATTTATGGCGCGCGCGGGCCCATCCCGGTGATAGAGCAATCCTTCCAGGAGACATCTCCCCATTACTGGAGCTGCTCCTCCTGCCCCGCTGCCACTGCTGGACGGATCTGTCAGCCCCGACAGGGGGGCTCCCGGCCCCGCCAGCCCCCACACACATTTGTCATCTTTATCTCAGCAGCTCCTCTTAAACAAACTCCTCGCGCGCAGCTTCGCCGCTTTTGCTTCAAAACAAAACGTTTGAGGGAAACGGCACATTTTCAACTGTGACTTCATTTGCTGTCTGATTTTCTGCTGAAGTTATTTTAGTTTTCATGAAAGGAAATAATGGGGAAAGATGAAGGCTTCATTCCACTGTGCTGACAACATAGTGGGGGAGAAATGGTGCAGTTAATAATGTAAACTTGATGTATGTAAGCACAGCTGGTTTGGGAACATCTTTTCAGCAGCACTAATTTATACTTTGCCTTTGTTTTGTGTTTTGGTTTATGATTTTGATTAGCCACTAGAATGAGCTCTCTTAATTGCTTTCTGCTAAAATGCTTAAAAGAAAAAGAAAAAAACCTGAAACCATGAGACCTTTCTTGCTTTATTAGATTTTTACTAAGTTATTAGATTAAAAAATAAACACCCGATCTTAAAGGTTGTCAGATACCTTCAGGGCTCTGAAGGAACAGGAAGAAGGGAAGGGAAATCCCAAATCCTCCACAGCATTTGCTCATTAGCCATTTTCAATCCTGTGTCACACTCACTTCTTACAGTGATTTCGTTTACTTTTTGCATCTTAATTCAAGGCTTTATGTACAAAATACACATTACTACCAATATTAAATAGCTACTCCTTTTATTTCCTGCCCTCCCAGCACTCCTTAAATTCATTACGTATTTACTTATCAAAAAAGGCAAACACAGGCAAGGAAGAAAAAAGAGCAGAAGAGTGGGAGATGCCTTTGAGAGTCACACATTAACACAGCCTCTCTGCATTCCTAAACACTGTATAGATTCAGTAGTTACCTCTTCTGATAAACTGCTTTAAAACTATTTTCTAGAACTACCTTTATCAAAAATTTAAATCTCAAACTGTTACAAAAGGCTTCCAGAAATTTTTGCATTTTGTCAAAAACATAGTAATCAAAAAATAAGACACAGGCAAGCTCTTCTTTTTGTTAAAATCAAATAATAAAACTTTGGAAAGACACTGAAAAGTATGGCAACCTACCAAGGCTATCAAAAGTGAAACAGTCTTCATAGAATTAGAAATATATAATTAAGCTAAAACAAAGATTTCCACCCGTAAACATGATTTTTCATTTTAAAAAAAACTTGCAACACTGAAACCAGGCTTTACTTTTTGAAAGGTTTCTTCTCAACACTTTTCACCCTAGAGGTGCCTAAGTGGATATCCCAAAATCATCATCGCTCGTTCTTTTCCTTAACAAAAGGGATGGATTTGACATTTCTCCTCCCTTTTCCCTGTTTCTTCAGATCCTCAAAGGTATCTGACCACCTTTATGACTGGGTGTTGATTTTTGAATCTAACAATGTATGAAAAATCTAATAAGTAAAAAAGGTTGCACGGTTTCAGTTTTTCAGGGTGGGTTTCTTTCTTTTTTCTTTTGGTGGCAACATTCCCAAGTTAATTTTCCAGAGACAAAACACCACAAACATTTCCAAAACCAAGATGTGGAAACATCTACTCCTACCTACCTTATATTCTGAAGTTGGTTTCCAACACAACAGCCAAGAAAAGGCTGGAACGCTCCTCATGGGAACCCACCTGAGAAATGCTCAGCAACTGGAAAAGTCATGTCACCGTCACGGCAAACTCCCATTGTCTGGACACAGCACAATCTGTGGATCTGCCCTTTGGTGAAACTCTTCCAGCCTCAGCACAGAGAAGCAAGTTAATCACCTGATTTAAAGGTAGGCTGCTCTTTATATTATCTCTGAAGTAAACTCACAGTCATTAGGCTTTTACAGTGACATTGTGATGATCAGTGTTGCAGTCTCAGGTGTTAATGCTTCATCTACCTTTAAAAGCAAATGTAATAACCCAGAAAGATCAATATTATAAGTTTCTTATTCTGTGTTAAATTACTGTGAATTCACCACATTCTTACAGAATTTCAGCAGTGGCATTAACCATAGTCCAAAAATGTTAATGCCAAACAGTGCTGTCCATACTGGGACAAAGAACACATCAAACAAGTGTTCTGGCAAAACTCTTCTGCAAAATTCCACATCAAAACAGCTGGAAAGACTGAGTGGCTCCAGGCAGCGAGAACAGACCAGTGTCTCACCTCAAAACAGCAGTACCAGTGACACTGTGAGCAGGTTCAGGGGAGCAGGCAGCACATCAGGCTGTTCCTGAACAAAGGGCATTTGTACAAGGATTCAAAGTATATGAAGAAGCAAGACCTGGAGATCCCAACCCATGCACTACTTGCCTACCACCCCCCAGCATTTCATTATTCAAAATAAAGTACCAGTGGTACAGTGCCACCCCACAGCCTGGTACCACTGGCTGTGCTGTCCTACCATGCCAGGGGCTTGCTCAGTCTGTAGAAAGCTTTTATTGATTTTAAGTCTTTTTCTTTTTTAAAGCATACAAGTATGAAATGGCTCCGGTCTCCCAGCAGGAGCTGTTCAGAACAGCAGCCACAGCTTTCAGCTTCAGTGAAAACTGGGAGACAATCTGGTTTAATGGGTCAGATATCCTTCACCTACAAAGAATCAGGCTGGAAAACCCAACTCATGAGCCACTGTTCTGATTTTCAGTATTTGTCACAGCTTCCCAAAGCCATAGTTAAGCCTCCAACATACCCTCTACTACTGCATTCTTCCTATAGCCAAATACTCTTAAAAGGGTTCACATGTGTTGGGGTAAAAGGGCTCTTTTAATAAGGAACAATTCAAATCTTTTTTAAAGGAAGGGGGGAAAAAAAAGACATTTTAATGTAACAATCTATTTTGCAGCCAACTCTACTAAGTTCTGCAAGAAAAACATTTAGTCAGTATTAAAAAGCAGAAAGCACCTTACACTTTGATTAATTTGATACTCCTGTATTATGCATAAAGCCACTCATTCATTTTGCCCTGCAAACTGTTCTTATCCAAGAACAGATACGATCAGAGTGAAGCAGTGAAGGATTTTATTAAAGTAAACACAATCCCAGTGGAACATGCTCGTTATGGAAATACACCAGCACTCAGTAAAAAATGGGCCATTTCGTATGGATGTAATAAATATTTTCATGGACACGTATCTACTGTTCTCTCAAAGTTTTAAATGCATAACTATTAAAAAGCTTTTCCTGCTGCCTGTCTAAGCAGATGTCAGTCACCTACCATTTTTTAAAAATTTAAAAAGCTTCCCAAGTAGGAAATAAGAACACTGGTATCAAGCAAAGGCAGCAGGAGTGTGTGTAGACTTCTTCCCACCTGAACACAAGAGCCCATCCATTGTTATGAAATCACACTGTGATCCTTCCCCATGGATGGCAATGCATCTGCAAATACACACTTTACACATTAACCTATTAGGAAAGGAAACAACTACAAACAAGGCCAGGTGCAGCAGTAAGTGTTCTGCAGTAATAGATGGGCAATGCCAGAGAGCAATTCCACAGCAAGCCACAAGGCAGGAGTTAATCCATCTCCTAAATCTGATGGATGAACTTCCTTAACACATGATAAAAATATGAGTGCTGCTCTCTATCAGAAGTTGGCCAGCAGCTTCATGCTTGTGAAACACTCAGGTTACAATTAAGATTCCTCATTATACTCCCCAAATTACTCTTTTAATGAAGCTCCAAGGCTTATTGTACCTGCTGCTGGTAGAACTGGACAGGTCATCCCAGCACTATCTTTGCCTGTAAGTGAGAAGCTAAAACCAGTTAAATAGCAATTGAGGCACCTGAAGTGGAGCACTGCCCAGTTCTCATGTGGTCACACATGCCACATCTGCTCGCTCTTCTGTGGGCCCCAAGTTGGACTTGGGAGTTCGATCTTCTTTGTTCACAGAATCCCAGAATGGTTTGGGTGGGAAGGGACTTCAAAACTTATCTCGTCCCACCCTCCTGCCATGGGCAGGGACACCTTCCACTACACCAGGTTGCTCCAAGCCCTGTCCAAACCTGGCCTTGGACACTGCCAGGGATGGGGCAGCCACAGCTTCTCTGGGCAACCTGTTCAGTAGCCTACCTCCAGCAAAAGATGGCAATGGGTATTAGGGATGGCTGGCTCCCCACCCAGTATGGAAATACTTGCCCACTCTGGAGATGAAAAATCCCTTTCTGGTGCCACCCATCCCAGCAGAGTCTCACAGCACAACTGTCCCAATGCTGATGGGCAGATCTAGACACCATAACCCAGGAGCACATCTCACCCTTCAGCGTGGCTCTCTCCCCTTAAAGGAACAACAGCTACCAACACCCATGAGGTGGTAGATGCTTCTCCCACCCACCTTTCCCCTGCCCTGAGTGCAGAAAAATGCTTTGACATCTAGTATGAGAAAAGGTGAGGGAAAGGAAAGCCACCAAGAGAAGGATGGTGCCCATCTGCTCCAGGGCAGCAGCTCAGCTCCAGCAGGACCCATGGAGGGGAGTTCACATGCTGGCAAACACAAGAAAGGCACCTCACCAGCTCCAAGACAGGTGAGCTGGATCCAGCCAGGATCTGCCTCTGGCACAGCAAGGACAACAGCAGGAAGCAGAGAAGCCTCTTTGGAGCAGAGGCACAACAGTGAACGTTCTGGGAGCACAAGGAGAGCTGTGACACTTCAGAGATCCCGACCTGACAGGGACAGCCAAGGAGAGCGCCGGGCTGGGCACTGCCAACTTCTCCCAGAGACACAATCCCAAAAGCTCTGAGAGCCACAGTTCACTAAAACCCTCAAAACTGAGCTTCCCAGAGTTGGGGCTTTGCTTAATTGAGGGACAATAAAACCAGAACTGAAACT